TATTCTACATCTGGGACAATGCCACAAGATGGGTTAAGGGAAGAGAATTACATTCCACCTTTGGAAGGGAGGGGTGTCAGTATATTTCTGGAAACGGGTTGGGGACGTGGCTCCACGGTAGGGCGGCCTACCTAGTACGCATGAGGCCTTGGGTTCAATCCTCAGCACTGAAAACAAAAAACACTGGGCATATTTTAAACCCACCTCAGTCTCCTGTGGTTGGGAGGAACACCCATGGGCTGTTAGGCGGGAGGCCGGCTCTGGGGAGACTTTAAGAATGGGTGGCTTTAGAGACAGGTCGGGCCCTCTGAAGCTGAGTGTGCTGGGTCTTCTCCCTGCTGCTCCCTCATCTCAGATGCTCTATCTGGGTCTCTGTCTGTCCTTATGTGTCCTCTCCCTCCTCCTCCTACTGCCATGTGACCTTTGAACTGTTGCAGTGATTTTCCTGGTAAACTGCTCAGATTTCTGGGACATACCTGTGGCTCAGTCGTGGGGGTGTGGTCAGGAAGCCAGGACTGAGCCAGGTGAGGCTCAGGTGGTGAAGACGCTGCCTTTACTGTGCTTCTCCTTTCTCTCTTCCCAGGGTCTGCAAACTGTTTCTGTAAATGACCAGAGAAGAACAGACATATATTTCTCTTTTTAATTATTTTTTAAAATATTATTATTACTATTATTATTTTTGTAGCACTGGAGATGAAACCCAGGGGGGGCTCTACCATTAGTCTATATTTCCAGCCTGTTTTTATTTATTTTTTTAAATTTCCATACAGCTAAGTCCCTGAGGCTGGTCTTGAACTTCCGTCCTCAGCCTCCCAAGTAGCTGGGATTATAGGCACTCACCTCCATGCCTGGCTTATCTATTTTTTTTAAAAATTTATTCTTTAATTATAGGTGGACACAATATTTTTATTTTAATTTTATGTGGTGCCTCACGCTTGCTAGGCGAGCACTCTATATCTCTGAGCCACAACCCCAGCCCTATCTATTAAAAAAAAAAAAAAACCCTTTAAAATACAAAAATGCTTCTCTACCCCCTGGATCTGCCAGCCCCTGATCTCTCCTACGGCTTCTGCTGAACCCCGACTTTGGTTCTCTTAGAGCTCCTCACGGTGACCTTGGCTTTTCCTACAGAGCTTCAGCTTTTCCCGCTCACTCCAGAGCCTCCCATGAGATCCCAAGTTGAGTTCCACCCCCTCACTTGACAGAGGAAGGGGCTGAGATGTGATGCCAAGCCATCCAGTGCACGGGCACCTTGCTAGGTCCTCTGGCCCCTGTGGCCGTGGGTGCCATCTGTCCCTCCAGATGCTGTGCTGTGCTGTGGACTCTGGGCTGGAGGCCCAGTCCCTCACGCCAAGTTAAAATAGCTTTGCTGGTTGTCCAAACTCCAGAGTCTTCCCTGGCTGAGGCTTTGTGGTGATTGCATTGCAGCCTGATGCCTCCGTCTACCCAGTGCAGCTTCCTTAGTATGACTTCTACTATCCTCAGTTTACCGATCAAGAATCAGAAGCTCGAGAGGTTCAGCGAATTGCCCAATGTCACACAGCACATGAGCGGTAGAATCAGGATGCAAATCCAAATCTTTCTGCCTCCACATCTCACTCTTTCTATCCTCTTGAACCTGTTACCTTGACAATCCTCACCCTCTGTTTTAGGGGCAAGTTTGACCCCCAGGACATGGACAAGAATGTGAATGCCATTCAGACAGTGTCTGGGATCCTGCAGGGGCCCTTTGACCTGGGCAATCAGCTACTGGGAATGAAAGGCGTCATGGAGATGATGGTGGCGCTGTGTGGCTCAGAGCGCGAGGCTGACCAGCTGGTGGCCGTGGAGGCCCTCATCCACGCCTCCACCAAGCTCAGCCGTGCCACCTTCATCATCACCAATGGTGTGTCATTGCTCAAAAGCATCTACAAGACCACCAAGAATGAGAAGATCAAGATCCGCACACTGGTGGTGAGTAGGCTGGGCACCACCTGCCCAAGACCAGCCACCGTGCTGAGCATCGAGCACCCCAGGAGGAACGAGGGGGTCTCTCCATTCTAGAGGAGAATGAAGAGCACCCCTATGGGCACCTGCAGAGCAAAGTGACATGGGGACAGAGATTCAGAATGGCGGGCCCTGCATTTAACCCTGGCCATGTTTTCCTTATGAGTTTTGTCCAGAAATCATTTTCAGAATGAACGCTAAAAAGCCAGTTTCCTCAACCAGCGTGTGTGTGGCAGTTAAGCCTGTTTCCTTTCTTCCATTTTCATTTTACTGAAATTACTTCCATGGGTCTCTTCTTTATCTTGTGAACAATTACACAAAAAATTGGAGTAATTTCTTATTCACATCAATTTTTTTTTAAACTGATCTTTGCCTCTGATGTAGTGACTTTCTTTATATGGAAGATTTTTTTTCCTACAAGAGTTTAATTTTCCCTGGGTTACATTTTGCACATTTGAATTGGTCCCTCATATGACATGACTTTCCTGCAGTTTTTTGTGCCCTAACTAGGCTGCCCACTGCAGTTGCACATGGTTACCATCCTCTCATGTGGATTTTTCAAACTACCTGTGAGGTTTTCTGGCCACAGGGACTTATTAGAGCAAGGCCTGTCCCCAAACCATGTCCCTGATCCCGCATGTGTCTGCCCATCCACAGGGCCTCTGCAAGCTCGGCTCTGCAGGGGGCACAGACTATGGTCTCAGGCAGTTTGCTGAAGGGTCCACAGAGAAGCTGGCCAAGCAGTGTCGCAAGTAAGAGGGTCATTTCCAGCCCCTCCTCATGGGCTTCTGTGTAGGGCCCTCTGGGCTGCACTCCGGTGGGTGGTGAAAGGCTCCTCACCTGCTCTCCATCACCCTGAGGTCGCTTCACTCTTTACTGGAGCCCTGTCACCTTCCCCAGCAGCTCTCCCTCCCCACTTCCAGGTGGCTGTGCAATGCAGCCATAGACACCCGCACCCGGCGCTGGGCGGTGGAGGGCCTGGCCTACCTCACCCTGGATGCTGATGTGAAGGACGACTTTGTCCAGGACATCCCGGCTCTGCAGGCCATGTTTGAGCTGGCGAAGGCAAGTGTGGCCCTGACCTCCAACGTTGGGGAAGGTCTACCGGATTCAGGGCCTTCCAGCCCTCCTGTAAATCTGGTGGGCCATTTTCCTCTTTCTGTCCCTCATCTTACCTGGCTGAAAGTGAATCCACGTGCCTTCCAGGCAGAGGGAGTATTAACAGGAAGATGGCATATTTGCCCATGGCCATGAGTGAGGAGGTCCCGAGGGCGTTGGGGCAGTGCTTCACTCCCTCTGGAAGTGCGGGAAGGATTTCCAGTAGAGTCAGAGCAGAGCTCCAGCTCCCACCCAAGTGCCCACTCCAGGTAGTGGGATGTGAGTGCGCTGGGCTTTTGAAAGGCACCAAGCAAGGTGCTGGGTGAGAAGCCACTGGCCTACTGTTGTGGTGCTGCTGGGGGTTCAGGAGGCATTTCTGCCACCCTCTAAGAGCAGAGCCGGTTCCCCTCCTGTGCCACCTGTACTTCTCCAAGCCGAGCCCCACCAGCCACACTCCTTCCAAGCCAATTTGCTCACCATGTCAGGGAGCTGTCTTGGAAGCAGAGTCCGGTTCCAAAGTTCCTTTCTGCCTTCCCCCCTAACCCGGTGTCTGCAGACCAGTGACAAGACCATTCTGTACTCAGTGGCCACCACACTGGTGAACTGCACCAACAGCTATGATGTCAAGGAGGTCATCCCCGAGCTGGTGCAGCTGGCCAAGTTCTCCAAGCAGCACGTGCCTGAGGAGCACCCCAAGGTGGGTACAGGATGCCCCTGGAGGAGGGACTGTGCCCCCAGACCTCCCAAACAGGTGGAATGGGAAAACCTGGGGTGCAGGCAGCTGTGTGGAATGTGTTTGGGAGGATTTGGGATAAAATACTGATCAATTGAGGATGATAATGGTAAGTTTCTCCACCAGATGGCCCTCATGCTTTTCCTTTGTTTTCTGTCTTGGGAGAAAAAACAAGTTTTAGAGTTTAATTTGACACAGAGCCTGGATGAACATGGTTTTCATATGTGGAATCTAGAGAGGACTAAAAGGGGAAAAGTAGGTGGGACCTCATGAAAATAGGAGAGAGACAAGTAAGGAGAGGAAGGGGGCCCCGAGGAAGGAGGAGGGGAGGGCAAGGGAAGGTCCTGGGGATTGATTTTATGTTGTTGATTTCATAGATATGAGACAGCTTTATATCATACTTCCAAGACTTATAAAGATTTGATTTTCTGGGATATCTGGATTTGGGGATGGGTGTTTATGAATAATGAGAGGAGGGATGGGGTCAGCATGAGCCCAGGTGTCACAAATCTCCTTGGGAGCCTAATACAAGAATATGATTTACATGTTATTTGCATATAAATACATACAGAAATATTCCCAGCCAATAAAATAATTTAGATTTTTTAATTGATCAAGGTGATAATCCTAGGTTGCAAGACTGTTGTAGGAAGATAGCAGGAAACAGTTTTATTTGGCTGCAGCCAGGTTCAGAGGGCACAGCTTTTGCTGTAATCAATTAATTCCCTGAACCCCGAGTTCAGGTAGTTTTAGAATTTTATAACCAGAATGTAAGGGAACGGGCTCAGAAATTCACAGACTGCATAAGTTCACATAAAAGCAGCTTTTTCTTTCACTGTTCTGGGCAAGTTAACCCTTCAAGGACAACACCTGAGAAGGGGAGAACTTCTTCTCCCCTTTCTTTCCTCCCCCTGCCAGCTGTTACCATGGAGCCCAATTGGAAACTTCTCTTATTTCAAAAACGTAGACATCTCTGTGAACTCAGCTCAAGGCCAGAGGCCTTGATAAAGAATTTGTCTTTTTTTTTTTTTAAATCACACTTTGCAAACACACTTCTACAAACTACTACACTGGATACATATTTATGAAAAACAAGTAAAAGGGCATTCAGCACCTGGAGTGCTGATTTCTTCCTGGCCAGTGGCCAAGTATAATACAGCAACAGGAAAATAGGAAGTTTAACTACATTGAACTTTTTTTTTGTAGAGACTCCTTTGCTTATAGTCTTAAAATCAATTATGGTGAAGATTTCTGGAGAAGCTTCGGTAAGATTCTTTTTTTGTGGAGGAGGAGGTGCCACTACAAAACCAACAAAAGTGTGCAATAGAGAAAATAACCACTGCTCATAATGTGTCCCTATGACCACCGTTGGCATTTTAGTATGTTGTGCTACCCACCAGATAAAACTGTGGTTTTTCTGTGCATCTTTTTTCTTTTTTTTTTAAATTAAACTCTATTTAAATTTTTATTGGCACGATATACATATACATAATAGTGGGATTTTTTTTCTTCCTATAGTTATAATCAGAATGTAGTTATCATTTTGTCTGATTTTGGAAAGATAATTTGTTGGGGGGAAAGGAACACTCACACTGTGTGTGATTGTAAATGAGTACAATCACTGTGGAGATCAGTATGATGTTCCTTAAAAATCTAGGAATGGGACTACCATATGACCCAATGAAACCATACTCTTGGGATACATACATACCCAGGTTTATAGCAACACGATTCACAGTAGCCAAGTTATGGACCCAGCCTAGGTGTCTGTCAACAGATGAATGGATAAAGAAAATGTATATACATGCAAAGGAGTATCTTCAGCCATAAAGAAGAACAAAATCATGTCAATTACAGGAAAATGGATGGAACTTGAGAGCACTATGTTAATCAAAATAAGTCAAACTTATTTTGTCAAAGGTCATATGTTTTCTTTCATTTGTGGAAAGTAGAGAGAGAAAAAAAAAGGAGGAAAAGGGGGGATCTCATGAAAATAGAAGGGAGACTAGTAAGAGGAAGAAGGGGACCAGGAGGAAGAAGGAAGGGAGGGAAAAGGAAAGTTCTAGGGAACTAAATTGACCACATTATGCCATGCGCATGTATGAATGTGTCACAGTGAATCCCACTGTTCTGTATAATTGTAACACACCAAGAAAAATTAAAAGCATATGGTGTGATGTGGGTTGGTTACATGACAATATTATGCCATTCTATATAAGAGACTTGAGAACAAGATACTTTGTGTATTTTGCACATGGCCTCCCATTCTCTGAACTGTTTTTAAAAGTTGCAGGTGCACTTCACCCAGGCAAGGGTGCACAGCGTGTTCTGCTGCTGTGAAGGTCCCCTGTGCCTAGAGGTGTCACATGATGTTCATCTCTTCCCCGCCAATCCCCATTCCAAGGACCAACCTGGGGTTGACTTTGGGTTTCCAGCAAAGCCCACTCCATGGCTGTCAGCTTCACCTGCTGTCCCCATTTACTCCTGTCTATATCCCCCTCCCCGTCCCCCAATGGAAAGCCAACCTTTTGCAAGAAAGTCACTGTATGTGTCATTTAGTGCTTGGGATCATCCCCTTTTCACTTCACTCCTCTGAGAAAGAGTTGAGTCTTTGACATTGATTTTCTTACAGCATCAGCTCGGCAGGCTCTGTGCTGGGAGTAGGTTGGGCAAAGCAGAGAAGAACTTCTTACCTGATGGTTGTTGTTCCGGCAAAGGGAACCTAGAGAAGTGCGTTACTTCCTTTTGCTTCTCTAACACCTCGCCGCAAACACAGTGGCCTGAAAACCACATTTGTTATCTTACAGCTCTGGAGGCCGGAAGTCAGAGCATCTGTCCCCCTGGGCTGAAGTCCAGGGGTCTGCAGGGTTGGCTCCTTCTGGAGTCTCTAGGGGAGAATCTTATTCCTTGACTTATTCTAGAGGCCACCTACATTCTTTGGTTGGAACCTTGAATCATTTTAACCTTTCTGTTTTCACACCTCCTAGTATTAACCCTGAGCTTACTGTGCTGTGGTTGCATCATGATTATTTGGGGCCTACCTACATTATCCAGGATTATCTCCCCTTCCCCAGTTCACTTGATCATCTTGGCAAAGTCCCTTTTGTCATGTGAGGTTACACATTCTCAGGTTCTAGGGATTGGGCTGTGGTCATCTGGGAGGGCCATTAGTGAGCCTACCCTAAGAAGTCAGAAACGTACCATCTGAAGTTCCAGTACAGATCTGCCTGGTGCCCAGGCCCCTTCTCCATTGCCAACTCTCCCATCCCCCAGGACAAGAAGGACTTTGTGGACATGCGGGTGAAGAGGCTCCTGAAGGCAGGTGTCATCTCCGCTCTCTCCTGCATGGTGAGAGCAGACAGTGCCATCCTCACTGACCAGACCAAGGAGCTGCTGGCCAGGTGCCACTGCAGGGGGCCAGGGGCTGGGCCTGAGGGGACTGGAGGGCAGGAGGCTGGACAGGGAGATGGAAATGGTGGGGGCCTACATGAGGGACCGAGTGAGCCATTGGGTGTCCTAGAGACTGAAGGGGACCAACAATGAAAAGTGACATGATGGGGCAGATGTGACAGGGGGAAGCTTGTGTCAGAAGGTGTTCATTCTGGTTGCCTTGTTCCCAGAGATCAAAGGCACAAAGTGCAGCCTACTGGGCATGATCAGGTCCAGTGCAACAGGTGCCCTGTGGGGAGACACAGCGGGTGGGGACATGAACAATGGCACCCAAGCAGCCAGACTGGAGGGCCAGGGCTCGGCAGCCAGGAAGGCCTGGTGGAGGTGACAGCTGAGCCCTGATGGAAGAAAAGGAGCCACTCTAATGTGGAGGAGGGAAAGGCTTCAGGCCTGGAAACAGCATCTGCAGAGACACCAAGGACAGAGGAGATTTCTCTAGAGCAAGGAGGCCCAGGAGGGAATCTTGCTCACAGGGAATTAGGAGACCGTGGAGGTGGAGTTTCTCTTGGGTGGTGAGGGGCACCAAGGAGCCCCTAGCAGTGCCCATAAGCAGGAGTGGGGTGGCTCTTTGCAGCCTTGCTTGGCCTCACTTTCTTCCGTGCCACTTAACATCATCACAGCATCTTCCCAAGGTGGCTCATCGTGCATTGTGGGGCAGGAGCACACGGGGTGCACTCTCCGGGCTTTCCCTGTTCACCCTGGGGCTTCCTGGGCTCTGGCTGCTGGCCTGCGATGGGAAAGGGTGCTGGCAGTTCAAATGTTCTCCTTTATCCTTGGCCCTGCAGGGTGTTCCTGGCGCTGTGTGACAACCCAAAGGACCGAGGCACCATTGTGGCTCAAGGTGGTGGCAAGGTAATGGGTCAGGATAAAGTCTTTGCTTTCCTAGAAGGTGATCTGCTTCACAGGAGCACACAGACTGTGCGTGTGTTTGTGTGTGTGTGTTCGTGCGTACTTGTGTGGGTGTGCTCATGTACCCCTAGCTTGGCCCGAGAATCCTGTATCCCTAACCCAACCCAACCTCCTTGAATACGGCAACTCAGTTATTTGCACTGTCTGGGCTCATGGCCCCAAACCAATATCTGCTTGATTGGCTGGTGCCATGGATGTACTCCGGAATGTCTTTATCTTCCTTGCTATTGGAAGGAAGCCTGGTACAAAGATGGAGACTGTGGACTTTCCTGTAGACTAGAGTTGAGTCTTGCTGTGTAACCTGGGGCAGATACTTACTCTCACTGAGCCACAATTTCTTCCTCTGTAAAATGGAGGCAGGACCCACACACTCACATTTCAGAATGTCACCAGGATTACATAAAATACATGCAAAGCTCACAGTTGGTGCTCAATAAGTGTCTGCTGTTATGATTAGGTGTGGCTTAGACAGAAAGTAAGGAATCCATTTATTATTTCTCCAAAAATTGAAGGAACCTGTGGATGGGTGGGCAGAAGTGGGGTTGAAGACCTTGATGATTGGGACCCAGGGGAATGAATCTATGGCTGAGTAGTTGTTTTCCATGATGCTCAAGGGCTGATTATGTCGCAGAGTCTCCGTGAACCTCTGATGGTTCACGGAGAGACAGACAGACAGCAGCTGGGGTGGAAAGATGGGAGAGGGCTCTGGATCTGTGGCCTAGGTGACTGTGCCCTTTCTTGCAGGCCCTGATCCCGCTGGCTTTGGAGGGCACGGATGTGGGCAAGGTGAAGGCGGCCCATGCTCTGGCCAAGATCGCGGCTGTCTCTAACCCGGACATCGCCTTCCCTGGCGAGCGGGTGGGTATTTGGGATGAGTGGGGTGGGGCAGAGGGAGGAGTCTCCCCTGCTCTCATCACCCCAGCCTGGGAGAGAGACCTGGTGCTGTCTCAGGGTGGGTGATGATTCACCTGGATGCCTGGCCTGGCTGTGCCTGTGACAAACAGGACTGTCCCCTCAGAAATGTTGCAAAGTAAAGGCAACATTCCTGCCTCTGAGGATCATTGTGCAGATGAGGTCCGACAACACAGGAAAGTGCTTTGGAAGTTAAAGGCTGGCCACCTACAAATGCAGAGAATGGAGGAAGATGTGGCCCTCGCCCCACCTGATCTGCGACCACTCCCCACAGGTCTATGAGGTGGTGTGGCCCCTTGTGCGTCTTCTGGACACGCAGAGGGACGGGCTGCAGAACTATGAGGCTCTCCTGGGCCTCACAAACCTGTCTGGGCGGAGTGACAAACTCCGGTGAGTGGGGTGAGGTGGAAAGGGCAGGGGTGGGGAGAGGTGCCCCAAAAAGTTGGGTTGGAATTTCACAGGTCATG